ATATTTTATTATTATAACTCTTATATTATATATATTAAAAAAATATCTAGATAAAGAAAATATATACTTATATAATATCTAAGGAATACTAATATAAAGATAAGATATATAATATCTTATATTAAAAGTTAATAAAAAATTATTAGCTTACTAATATAAAGAGTAGAACGATAAGAATCTATATAACCTAGATAAAAGAACACTAATAATAATAGAATTAAAGATTATATTAAACGAAAAAATAAAGCTATATAAATTTATAGTTATTAAATTAACTAAAGTATTACTAACTATAATTATTTAATATTAGAAAATATAACTTTATATTAATTAGAGATATAAAATTATTAATCGATAATATTTATATATTATATTCGACCTCGATATTAAACTAAAAGAATATATATAAAAGATTACGTTATAGTATTATTAAGATCTTAATTACGAAGAAGCTCTAAACCTATATTTTTACTATATAAATAGAGAATATTAAGATTACGATATACTAAAGATAATTATATAAAATATCTATAGAAAATCTAATCTAACCCTATATAATATTACAACACTAGTAGTAAAAAATAAATAGAAATAAAAAATAAAAAACTATCTTTATTCCTTAATAAACTTTAGGAATTATATATAATTTACTAATCGAGATTATTAGTTTACTTTATTATAAAGGGAAAGGTATAAGATATATCTATTTATATTATAGTTAACTATAGTATATAAAAAAACTATATATTACTATATTAAAAATAATATTAAAAAAATATTATAAAGAAAAAATTTATCTATATTAATTAAATATAGTAGATAGTATCTCTATAGAGTATAACGAAGAATAGATATAAGACGAAGTACGAGATATTCGACTTACGATCTTAAGATATAAGGAGATCGTAAGCTTTAACTTTATATCTATTAAATATAACTTAATTTTAGAATTAAGATAACTTTAAGAATATAATTTAAGGATAAATTAAAAATATCGAAATCTTATATTTCTCGATTATAATTATAGAAATAGAATAAAGGATTAATTATTTATTATAGTATATTATATTTAAGTAGTATATATATAATCTTAAAGAAGAATACTTATAAAAATAAACGTATAAGTTATATTTAAAAAATATTAAGAATTCGTTAAGTTATTTAAAGAATAAAAAGATTTAGTTATCTTACTTAAATATAAACTATAAAATTATAAAATATCGCTCGAAGAAAGAAAAGTATTAAAATATAATAAGTAACTTTAATAACTATCTAAGAAAGAAAAAGACTTTCTTAAAGACTATATCGAAAAATACGAAAAGAAAGGCTTTATTCGACTATTAAAGTTTTCTATAGTATACGATATACTATTTATCTTAAAAAAAGATAGAGAACTTCGAGTATATATTAATTATTAACTATTTAATACGATTACTAAAAAGAATCGATATTTATTACTATAAATTAATAAGCTATAGAATTAACTTCTCGAATTAAAATACTTTACTATTATTAATATATAGAATATCTACTATTAAGTATAAATAAAGAAAAGTAAAGAATAGAAAATCGCCTTTAAAATCTAATTTAGATTATACGAATATTTAATTATATCTTTTAAATTAATTAATATATCGATATTCTTTTAGGAATTAATTAATAATATAATTTAAAAATATTTAGATAATTTTATAATTATCTATTTTAATAATATATTTATTTTCTCGAGGATATATAAGGAATATATAGAGTATATATAAAAGATTTTAAAATAACTTTAAGAAAAAAATCTATTAGTTAAACTTAGTAAGTATAAATTTTATTAATAATAGATATACTTCTTAGAATATATTATCTTTAAAAACTAGATAGAAATAAATCCTAATAAAATTTAATTAATTAAAGATTAGCTAGAACTAATTAATATTACGAAAGTATAGGCTTTCGTAGAACTACTTAATTATTATTAAAAATTTATAAGGAACTTTTCGAAGATTATCGCGTTATTAATAAATCTTACTAAAAAAGATATTAAATTTAAATTTAAACGGAAATATAAGGATATATTCTAAATACTTAAAAAAACTATAATAAATATATTAATACTAATAATATATAATCTAAAGTATAAATATATATTAAAGATAAATATATTTAACGAAGCTATCGAAGCTTACCTTATATAAAAATAATCTAATAGAAAACTAAAAATAATTATATACTTCTTAAGAAAAATAACTAAACTAAAACTTAACTATAATATATATAATAAAGAATTGTTTATTATCGTTAAAGTAATAAAATAATAGAGAGTATATCTTAAAGAAGTAAAATACTCTATATAAGTCTATATTAATTATAAAAACTTACTTTACTAGATAACTATAAAATAACTTAATAAAAGATAAATTTAATAGATAGAGATATTAGCTCTATATAACTTTAGGATATATTATATTAAAGAAAAAGAAAATACTATAGTTAATATACTTAGCCGCTAACTAGATTATATAAAAAATATTAAACTAAAATTAATAGTTATACTTAAAAAAAAAATAACGTCTTAATATATACTACGCCTAAGAATATTACTCTCGCGGCTATAAATATCGAGCTAATAAAATAATAGAAATAAGAGATTATTAAATTAAGATATAATAATAAGTTAGTAGATTATCTAGAGATTAAGAAAATAATCGAATTAATTATAAAAGATTTTATCTAAAAGGGATTACGAAAAAATATAATCGAATATATTAAAAACTATAATATATATTATAAAGCTAAGTACGTAAAATATAAATTATATAGACTACTTTAGATATCGAAAGTTACTAACGAAGCGTAATTAACGATTATACTTAACTTTATTGTTAAGCTATCGAAATCTAAAGAGTCTCTTATAAGTATAAAATTTAATAGTATTCTAGTTATTAGTAATACTTTAACTAAGTATACGTACTTCGTACTATATAAGGAAATATCTATAGTAGAGGAACTAGTATATATATTCTATAAAACTATTATTATATAATATAAAATACTAAAAGAAATACGCTTAGATCGAAATAAACTATTTATCTTATAATTTTAGTAATTACTTATAGATTTAATAGGAATACACTAAAAACTATTAATAGTATACTACTTATAGTTAGATAGATAAATAAAAAGAATAAACTAAATATTGAAACAATATTTACGATACTACGTTAACTTTTAATAAGATAATTAAATATAATTATTATCTATTATATAATTCGCTTTTAATAATAGTATATTAGTTATAGAAATATTATTATTTTATATAAATTACGAAAGATACTTAAATATCGATAATAATTTAAGAGAATTTAAATTAATTATAAAAAAAGTATAAATATTAGTCAATAAACTTAGAGAACTATATAAAATACTATAAAAATAATTAAAGAAAATAATAAAAAAAACAATAAAATAAGCTAATAAAAAAAGATTTAAGGGACTAAATCTTTAAGAGAGAGATTTAATCTATATTACTAAAAAAAATATAAAAATATAATAACTATTAAATAAATTTAATTATACTAAGATTAGACCCTATAAAATTAAAAAGAAACTTAGACTAGTAATATTTAAATTAGAATTATCTAGAGAAATAAATATTTACTCGATATTCTATAAATTACTTCTTAAGAAAGCATTACTAAATATTAAACTAAGACTAATACTAATATATAAAGAAACTTAATAATTACTATATAATATTAAGAAGATAGTAAACTTTAAAGTTAAAAATTAATAAAAGTACTACCTAATTAAATAGTTAGACTATAAAGAGAAAGAAAATACTTAGAAATCAATAAAATATCTTATCTAGAAATTTATAAGGTAGTATTACTAATATTACTAAGAATCTCGATAACTCTAAAGATAGTATCTTAGTTAATTATATCGTTAATAAAGATTTTCGACTAAAGAAGCTTAGGATTAGTAAAGACCTCTATACTATCTAAAAACTAATTATCGAGAATACTAAGTACTAATATCTTACGCTATATTATACGCGAGAATATATCTTTTAGACGAGATAGAGATTCCTAGAACTCGATATCTTCGGACTTAGTAGTATACAACGCGTTCTACGTCTAAATAAGGGTACGACGTAAACGGATAATCTCTTTTCGCTTTTAACGAAATTTTTCTTAAAATATCTTCTTTTTATCTACTACCTTCTAAAACTTCTCTAAAAAAAAGGAACTATTGTAGTTGATATTTTTATGTAAATAATATAAATATTTCTTTAAACGCTCTTTTATAAAGTAATAGATTTCGTCTAAATAGACGTAGTTAAAATAGAATACTATAATAGATGTAACTAATAGTTCGATTATAGTAACTAAGTCGACGCGACATTAGATTAAGTTTCGCTTCGAGGGTTTATCGGTCTAGCGTGATATCGTTAACTATAGTTAAGAAAGAGTCCCAACGAAACGAGAAGAATACTTACGTTTAAGTACGTTAAGGATAACGAATAAATTCTAAGGAGAGGAAAGTATTACGAACTAATTTACGACTAAAGTAGAGGCCTTAACGCCGCGCTATATAGAGATAAGGAAGGTAGAAGAACCGAGGAGATAGCCTTATCCTAGGGAAGGCTAGGTTACGTAATACTAAATTATTAATCTATCGCCCTAGTAGCTTTATATAAAGTAGATAAAGCAATAGATTATATAAATTATATAACTATATATATAAAGTTATTTTATAGCTTTACTACGTAATTAACTTCGTTTACGATTATATCTATATATTTTAAATATCGATTAGCTTCGCTCTAATATAGCGACCTACTTATATACTCGTGCTCTTATAGATATATACTCTATATTTCCTACTTACTAAGGAACCCTTATCTCGTAATACTTTAGCGTAAAGCGATTTATAATATCTAGAAGTAAAGTAAATAGAGCAATAAATTATATAAATTATATAACTATATATACGAAATTATTTTATAGCTTTACCTTATAGTTAACTTCGTTTACGATTATATCTATATATTTTAGATATTGATTAGCTTCGCTTTAGTATAGCGACTTGCTTATATACTCGTGCTCTTACGGATATACACTCTATACTTCCCACTTGCTAAGGAACCCTTGTCTCGTGACACCCCAGCGTGGAGCGATTCGTAACACTTGGCCTGCCACACACACGGAGTCAGACTTGCATCTATCGACCTATGTAAAACCATTCATCGCTTGCGTATAGACTTATTTTAGGCCTGGCCTCGCTGCTTTCTCTGCTGCTTTACCTTTAGGCGCCGGAAAGCCTAGCATGATTGCCCTGGGTGACTCTACCCGAAAACGTCGCTCGTAGCATAACGACTTCGATTGTCCTTGCCATGTGCTAACGAAGAAGAAGGCTCACTACTGCTGCGTAGAAGGCAACTGAGTATGAGAGAGTGGGAATCACAATACGTCTGGCCATCGATGTTCCACGAGCAGTCGCGTCCGGATTATTGGCGGCGTCCTCGATCGATCCCACCATACTTTGCATTCGTTCCTCATCCTCAACAAGTACCACTGCCATTCCGCTCTGTAAAGAAGTGCCCATCAGCTTCTGTAATCCGGACGTCGCCATATATAACATACCACTTGATGCCACTGCACATGGCAATGGAATAACCAAGCTCCTGGATTGTCGGTAATATATCTAGAACGTGTTCGCTATCAGTACTCCTAGTTCATGCCGCATTGTGTCATACCTGATAACGGCCCACCCTGATGGCGGCAAGTCTATGGTGTCTCGATAGGGAGGATTGTTTAAATTTATCATGGATGAAGGCGCGTCCGTGACAGAGAGGTACGGAAATACACCTGCACCCGACCCTAGAAGCCAGAATTTGTGACCATGAAGGTGCATGGGATGCCCCATCTGTCCAAGCTTGGGTCAGCTGCGACATTATCTTGGCATCATCGAGAAAGGAAGACATCCTACCGTATCCATCGAATCAGTCGCAACGTACATGATAAGATCAATGGTCGAGTTGCTGGGCATGTGAAGAGTGGTAACAGCGTCCCAGCCATCAGATGCATTCCCGTACAATATGGGTCTTTGTGGTTCCGAAAACGGTTGGCTGTTAATGACCCAGGTTACAACATCGGTTTGCCCAATGGCAAAGAGTTGTGTCACATCTGATGGCCCGCTTGGGGGCACATTTCCCTCATAGGGTGCAAGTTTCTGACCGTCCAACTCGGAAGCGTTAAGCATTGCCGACCCATTCACGAGCATCCAGGTCAAAGTGGCATCATCCACTGTGCCCATGTTGGTCATATTGGTGCCATTGGTCTGTAATGGGTTAGCAAGATCAGTAATCAAGTGCTGGAGTTTTAGCCCCTTACCTGGTAGGACAGGATCGCTTGGCCTTCGATGACTTGCTGCATATCGCCGTATGGATACGAAGCAAAACGTAGGTAGTAATTTCCTGGCTTCTGATCGAATCTCACCATCACTGAATATCGCTGGCCGATGGAGATGTGTAGAACCTATTATACTTATTATGACCATTCGATAAACCACCGCACAAACTGACCTGGACCTCTTGCGGCTCCACATAGAGTCCGTCTGCAGCGTAGACGAACATGGAGTGACCATCAAGTGAGACACTCAGTCTGCTTACGGCACCTGCGTTAACCAGATGAACAGCTGCCCAACCCTGAGAAGCATCAACATCAAACATGAATTGCTCTGACGTGGTGTTGCTGCATATCTCTGGTGGGAGAGAGCTTGCGTTGAAGCCTGGCTTGAACATCATTTGCATACTGCAACCTTTGGGACCAAGACTGGACATGTCTGCTATGCCTGATACAGTGGCCATCGATGACGTGGAGGTGTTCGTGGCCGGCAACATGCTCAAACCACCAGAGACTGTAGAGTCTGCTGCTGTGATTGTTGCATGATCTGATCGTTTGTGCATGCTCATGGACGTATCCATCGACATTGAGTCCATCGAAGTGGACGATGATGACATTGTATCCATCAGCATATCAGACATAGTGTAAGACGCTGTAGGCATCGGTGTACTCAGAGGGTCATGAGGATCGCTCGCGACGATGGATTCTAATCCCAACCCTGGTCCGGCTTGAAGGATACTTTCAGGCAGACACTGTACTCTTCCATATCCATTTGCGAGAAGGCTGTCGACGCATTGAGGGAATGCGCCGGTGGTAAAGTATTCATCGTAGATCACATCTGAGAGCCGATGATACCAGTCGGTCAGCAGAAGTGGCGTGGCGGCTCGCTCGGCTTGTAGCATCACTTCTAATTCTGTGCTATCTCGAGCAAGGCTCTCGAATGGGCGGCGGCGCGATGGCGAAGGATGTATTAGAAGTGGCCCGCGTACGGCATCGTTATAATAGGCTCTGAAATGAGAGTGATACCAATAGATGCCATATTCTGACCCTGTCGAGAACCGATAAGTGAAATTCCCTTGGGGCGGAATTGGAAACTGCATCAGTATCAGCACTGTAAAAGCTACCGGTTTGCGCTAAATCAATTGACCTGAGTGACACCGGGAACGCCGTCCATGCCTGGTGTACCACGTTGAAGAAGGCCTGTAATTCACCTCTTAGTCTCTCACTTCAATGACACGAAAGTGATGCGCAAAGAACTCCGTCTTGAGGAAGGGACCGACCATGCCAGTGGATTGTTTGTTCGACCGGAAGATTATTTTGCACAAAGATGTCTAAGTCATCTCCCTCCACAGCCTCAATCAATGGACCAGGCTGCTGATCGTTGATGAGGTAAACTTCGCGGGACACCCCATCTATGGTGCTGTCAGGAAGAGGCCAACGAATATGCCCGATTCAAACACTAACCTGGTGCTCTAGTGCCAGGATGTAACGTGAGATTGTACGAACGAAGGGCGGCATGGATCCTCTGCGGTAGGGAAGATAGGAGGAAGACGATGACATATGAAAACAATTGCATACTGTTCAGCAGCCTATAGGTATAAAATAGTGGTCGACCGCCACGAGAGAGGGACATCTGCTTTTTTACACATATCCCCTCCAGGTGCAGTATTGGATCGGATTAGGCTCCTGGGAGCAGTGGCGATCTACTGCGGCCTTTTTGCGTATTCTTGGCACTTGAGCTAATACACAAACAAGTGCCCCTTGCCTTGGAATTTGCAGTGTAACACGAACCATTACGAGGGGCCGAGACGAATGACTCTGAGCGATTAAGATCAGGTACGTTGCAACGTCCAGCTAGCGCAGACCTAGCTCTTGCACTTATGGAGCCTCTACGAGCTCAGCACAAAGTGGTCAGCCCGTATACGCCAAGACATACTGCATCATGGACCTAGAATGCGAGTATTTTGCGTTTTTCAGCCATCATTGATCCCTCCCACGGCAGACTGGAATTAGTGGAGAATCAGAACCAACCTAAAGGCACCCACAGCCCACAGTATCTAACGCTCTAGAGCATCACTAAACCTGCGACGAAAATCGGATATCTTCGGACTAGTTCATTAGACTAGTCCTTTATTAAGAGAACGGACCACTAAGGCTAGTATCACGACGTCAGGACCTAAGTAACCCAGCGGCCAGTATCGTTAAGGGATGCGGATAAGGTAGTAAATATCCATCACACTGGATCTAGCTAGCTACATACTATGACATCGATTCAGCGCTTGAACAGCACGCAACGCTGAGCTTCGAATGGATGCGTGGAGCACAATCGATGCTAAAACGTCATATAAATGTCAAAAGTTGCGGTAATTGTCCTTGCTATCCTTGCTTAGCATAACTCCTTACGTCGAGTTCGATAAAAGAGTGATAATCGTGGAATGAGATATCATCGTCAGTGAGTGGGATGACATCTTTCTGACGAGGGTATCGAATCGTAAAAGGAACAAGGTCAAGAATATGCCATTGCTAAATGTCCATTAAGGTCTTTTCGGCCACCAAACTACATAGAGAAACATTATCTCTCGACCTTTATAAGGATGAATCTGTTGATCTTGTTTTGCCTCATTCCATCCCTATCTATCGTGCATTTTTCAACTAGCTGTATACTTCACTATCATACCCATATCGCGATGGTTGAGTGTCTGACAATGATGAACCCAGGTGCCGGGGTTGTCCACAGACATTACTAACGATCGTGTCTGCGCAGGAAGCACGTTGATCTGTCAGAGTTATGGGTCAGTACATCGTGAACGATGCGAACCATGGGACTTACTTACGACATCAACCCGCTGCTGTGCATGGAGAAGTGTATTTCCATGCCAATGTGGTGTATGGACGTTCAGCACATCGCCTAGCGCTTCCTTGAGTGATCCGAGTTAGTGTGAAGAACGGATTTGATTTGATATACACTTACCACGTGCCAGGCTGCCTGTCGGCCTGCCGTGAGGTTGATTCCCATAAGATTACCAAACATGTAGCCGTTAATGCTGTGTTTCAAGTTGCTTTCTTGGAAGCCACGGTCCATACGTGTAACCTGGAGTTGACGTTCAGAAACGCTGGTCCTGTTCAAGATATTCTCGTCGATATAGTACGATTCGTTCTCATTGACGATTAGAAAGAGTGTCAAGACTTCTTCAGTGAGGTTCGATCCTGGTGGGGCAGGCACGTCCAAGGTATGCTTCGCTAATTCTCCTGGACGATAGATAATGGACGCGCCTACTAGACCGCTGAACACGTCTTGCGTGCCTGCAGCATCCGAATGATAGGTCCACGCCAGTCCAGGAGGATCTAGTGGCCCCGGACCCGATCGTTCTGTTATGGCCATTAGCTCTTCTTCTCGCTGTCGTCCAAAAAAAGTTTACCTGGCACTTCCCACGTGTAAGTCCAGGTCATACCTGGAGGTACAGCATTGCCGCCAAACATCTGCCCTGCGGCTGACAGTCCTTCGTCGCTTTTTCGATAGCGGAACCCATGTGGATGCATTGTATGATTGTGAGAAGCCATATTGCGGAACACAACCTTGACGGTGTCGCCAACTTCAGCGCGGATTATGGGGCCTAGCATGCCGAGCCACTATTGAATAAAATTAAAAAATGCACTCCATTATAGGTCGTAGGCTGAAACATACCTCAGGGCGAGCTGCTTGTGTACTAAACGTCCCATCAGTGTATTCGCGAAAGAGGGCTTTCTTGTAGATGTGCCCGATTCTTTGTCCATCGTTGCCTGCAACCGCAGCGGCTTGAGGCGACTCGACGATTGTGGCTCCGTTGATCATATCCATGTTGCTGGACCTTGTTAGTCAAGTTCACCTAGCATGCTCCTGGCGGTGAGACAAACGTAGGCATATAATCCCAGTCTTCTTCCACGGCAGCCACATAATATGTCCTCGTAGTTCCATTGGAATAATTTGCGGCAGATGCACATGAGGAAAGCAAGGAGAGGAGGAGCAGATGAATGGTAAAAGATGAAGAATGCATTGTGGGATTGTTGCCAAGAGGGTCAAAAAGGCAAACGAGTTAGACAAGGTCTGTAGACAGTGGCCGTCCGTTATGTAGGGGTTCCAACGCTTTAACGCCATAGGAGATGTACTGCGCAGCCGTACGTAGAGGAAGATACGTCATACAAGGCTCATGCAAAAGGTATGGGTAGATTGGAGTCGCATAGCGAAGGCGTGATACTAGGGTTTGTATAAATTGGATGTCTAACCAGGAAAGGCAGGGAGCCGCCCAAACGAGGCGAACTAGCGGCAGACCATGTCGTGTAAGCTCTGATTTTGCCCCGGTTGGGCATCGATGTGTCTTAGCCTTCGTGGGGAAATGAAAAGTGGAATCTACGCACAATGCACTCATATGATGGATTCTTCGCTCACTTGTAATACCTGCCATGTTCGCAACCTTCCGGAAATGTTAGGCACGCCTAGGGGTAGGCGAGTATTTGTCCGCGTCGCTGTGAAGGATGTTTAGCGTACCAAAAAGTTGTGACTCTCGCCAAAGTGGTCCACAGGCGCAGCAGCCTCTCGTGCAGGAGAGAACCCATCAGCAGCAGTGTCAAACCCCGTTAGCCTAGCTGCTGAGCTGATCAGCCCGTAGTTTATTGGCTTTCCTGCGCGGTTTGTGCGTGATTCGAGACTATTGGTTGGTCAGGCATAATGCGGTCTCTACCAAGTAAGGGGCGACGACAATTGAGGCTCTTGTGCTGTTGGAAATCGCCTGACGGAAGGCGCCACTTGACCAATCGGAAAGCAACCCACAGCAGAGTAAAACATCTCGTGCCGAGCGGGCCAGAATCCACCTGGAACCAAGATCGGGGAATGGCAACCCTCCCGGGAGCTCAGGCCAGAGCACCTAACGGCATCGAGAGAGTTTTGTGCCCTCTATGGCTTAGCGTTTCGCGAAGTAGTCGTGGTCGAAGTAGGCTTTAATCCCCCTGATAAGCACACGGATGAGCCAACCGCCGGCGCTCGAGAAACTGTCCTGATTGAGTCCGCACAAGCATTCTTTCACTTCTGAAGCCGGTTATACGTGGAAGTCTCAGGGAACTGGGTATCCACATGACACCGTCGCTATCGCTGTCCGATGAGAGTTTATGGGAGCTAATATGAGGTTCCACGGCAGTAAATGGCTGCCTTCCGCCTCAGTATAACCTCAAGCATCGAAGTTGTTTTGACTGTGGAGGTCTATAACATGCTGCGCACGTATTTGCAGCTTTTCTATCTGGGGGTGAGCCAATTTGAAGTAGTTATTACCTTTAGTTAGACTGTCAAGGGCAATAACAGCCCTTGTCTTGTTCTCTTGTGGCGCCGGCCGCGTATGTTATCTCAAGACTTGCGATGTCCTTCTATAGATGCTTCCAACACCGGTTCAAACATATTCATCTCCGGAGAGTAGGGAGGCCGGTGGTCTAGTTTATTAGTGCCTTGTTTGGGCGGGCTTTACACGCGTATTAACCCGAGACACTCGACCATGTCCCAAAGACGCTGATCCCCGTTTTGTGTCTGGGGTTGCAGTGCAACTGAAGAGAGGCTGGCACACAAAGGGTTCGGTGCTTTCGCGCAATTTTTGCGCTCGGGCCAAAGCACTGACCAATCCACCCAACTAGCAAGCGTGCTACATCCCGTGGCGTTATCTCATAACCGGGCGTGGGCAGCTGAAAGGCTGCTCATATGTCTACGACATCTTCAGTGCCAATCCGTGAATTTGAAAACTCCACCACTTCTACCTCTTACAAGCTAGTACCACAGTAGTTGCAGTCGTGACCAAAGTTCTATGGCCATTGTCGGCCCCAGAAATGGCGGACTTATTGGTCAGTAATGGCGCGGGATCAAGTTCCTTTGTTTCATGGACAAATGCCTTAATCCATCCGTATCCTCGATGTGGGGCAGCCTCAAGCGTCGAGAAGGTTCGTTTGCGAGTAATCTGCGATTCATGCCGGTTACCAGCGTGTTGTCGTTCGAAATGAGTGTATGCTCACACATCCCGATGACACCTGAGCGGGGCGCGGAAACTGGTGATGCGTGGTTTGTGCCTTTTTTAATGCCCAAAATGCTTGTGACCGCATGACCCCTCTCTGGGCGCTTTGGTCGTGATCCTTAATAGTAATGTTCAGTTGTAACCCTGTATCTCGCCAATGAGACTAGTGGGGATGTTAGACCTCCACTGCTGTCACTTCTTCCGTTGCCTGGAAGTGTCAACTCGACAGAGTTTTGAAAATATTGGAACACGCGGAAATGGCTCGGAGTGTCGTCAAGCAAGTCGTAGAGTGCACAGCAGCGGGTATCCTTGGCCACGCCTGGCTAAGGGAGGAATAACGAATAACAAATGGGCAATCGCGACGGCTGGAACATGGGCAGGGCTCTGCTTCCTCGCTTTTGATTCCTGGTTCCGTTTTCTGATTCCTGGTCTTCTTTTTCCCTGCTTCTGCTTCTGCTTTTGAACCCTTGGCCTTCTCCGTCCTATCATCTCCCTCATCGTCCCCCGGCTCCTGCTTTTACTCAATCCTTTACAACTTGTCCCAAGCCACCAAACACTTTTCATTGGAGCTAAGGTCTTATTGACTTCTCGACCACCAAAGATATTGCGGCAGACGTGAAGCGGATCACCACGAATAACGCACACGGTGTCGTCGTCACTGCCTTTTCACCAGAAGCTTATGAAACGGCTCCCACGCTTCTCCGACCACAAGGGACAATGGTGTGTGTAGAGCTTCCGCACCATGCAACCGCCATAGTCGGTGTGAAACCCTCGGCTGTTGTGATGACTGAGTTGCAGATTGTGAGAAGTGTGGTGGGAACCATGAAAGACGTCGATGAGGCGTTGGTTTTTATTGCCAGAGATCTGATGCATGTAAGTGACACTAAGCAGATGCTCGAAGTTGCTTTGAATGCTGCTAATGTTGAGACGATAGCCCGTTCTAACCAAAGGAACGCTGGGTGATGTGGACAAATACGCTCGTCGGATTCTGGAGGCGGAACAGGCTGGTCGCGTTGTGCTGAAGGTCACTTAGAATGGCGGACAGGGATCGTGGGAGAAATGGACGCGAGGGGAGTCGAGAGACGTCAGGGCTCAAAGGTTCTCGATGCTGCTTTAGTAATTCATGCTGCTTTGCGATTTCTCTTGCAGTTTGGGAATCTTCCCACTTTCCTCGACTGAAGCACTTCAACTTCATTCCTCCACATCTGTTAGCACCCAATACTTCGGCAACGCTACTCTGCAGCATCAGTCAGCAGCTTCCCAGACAGCTAGTTCGCCCGGCAATATGCGGAAACGATCCCTCATGCGGTGGTTGCCCTGATGTTGACAATGCGGCAATGTCAAATGCGCCGAACATTAACGTGCCCATTTACTTGCCGGCAAAGCAGCCATGACTCTATTTTGAGTTGATGGACGTGTTATACTCGGATCTTGTTATGGATATCAAGCATTACTTGCATGGGCTCGCGACAAGATCTATATATACCCGGTGGACACGGCGCCCTTCAAACATAGCCTTCCTCTCACAGTGCTGCGAGTCAAATCATTCTCGATATCTTACGACCTAGTTAGTAGACGGCTGCAACCCCCATATAACAAACCATGGCTCCAACGAAGAAAGTCATCCTCCACTACTTCGACCTCGGCAGCAAAGGCTGTGGAGAAGTCGTCCGGTAGCGCTTTTCGTCCTCCACCTCTCCTACCCACGCCGATCAGACTCCTCCCAGCTTGATCCTACGAGAACTCCGCATCAACTTCGAGGACAAGCGATATGCTTACAATGACACTTGGGCGAAGCTGAGCAAGACGTACCAGGAGAAAGGTCTGAGTGTCGCTGGCAAGCTCCCCGTCTTGGAGATGGACGGGCATATCTTGTCCCAGGTACGACCCCGATCTTGACGTTCAGGCATTACGTACTTGTTGTGACGCATCCAGCACATCCCGCTCCTCAGATATCTATCACGCTCAGCCGGTAACTACGATGGAAGTTCGAGCTACGACAACTGGCTGGCCGACGCCGTCTCCGACATCTACGTCGATTGGAGGGTATGTAGTCCCCAGCAACATCATGATCCTTTGATCTCAGACTAATCCCCCTTACCGGCCTGATGGGTCGCCAATCTCCCCGGAAAGGTGCCCAACTGCAAGACCGAAGTCGTTCCAAACTTCTACTCCATTTGGGATGACTTCTACTCTCGAAACCAGGATCCTTATCTTCTGGGAAGTGAGGCCTCGTATGTGGATTTGCGGCCTTTCAGGCTTTGGACAATGATGCAGCCGTCGGAGCTACTCCGGTAAGGGCGCCGCGCCCCCGTGATCTGAAATGTTGGGTTGCTGATGACTTTTTTATGTAGGCTGCCATGCCGGAGACGTTGAAAGCGCTAAAGAAAGCTATATCCGAGCGTCCCAATGTTAAGGAGTACATCGCTTCGAGACTGTGAGTGATCACTGTCTTGAACTAGCAAAGGCGACAGGTCGAACAGGAAGTGCAGCCATAAGGTGGTGGATTAGGGAAGACAAAAAGAAGCTCAGGCTTCTGTTGAAAGAGTGAGGCAACCGTCATGCCAGTGGATATCGCCTACATTACAGCTTGAATTGGCTGGCAGATCGAATCATCATGCCTGCGGACTGATTGTTTCGTTTTTAGCGCTCTACGGCCAATGCACTCCTGGCAGCACACGGTCGACATTCCTCATTCTATCTCCTAGCTACGACGTGCGATCCAAGCCTACAACGTTGAATCTGAAAAAATTTTCCGGATCCATCTTCCTCTTCAAAGCCTGCAATCTCTCCCAATGTCCATCTGGGAAACACTTCCTGGCCTCGATACCCTTCGCAACAAGGACAATGTACCCACCCTCAAACGTCTGCTTGAGTCTTCTTGCATCCGCATGGAACGAAACAGCCCAGTCACCAGACTCTTCGGCGAAGTCTTCGACCACAGAAGTGCCGATGATTTCGATCATGATGTGCTTTTCCCGGTACGCAAAGGATGAATTAGTCTTTGATGCCAGTGCCGCGCCACGGATGTGGTGTACCACCCACAACGTCGCAGGGTTTGGTGGAAGGTTAGTCGTGTACTTGACCAACACGTTCCTTACCTCTTGGTCGAATGCTGGGACCATGATACTCGCAGGGCCGCCCAACGCAAAGACACCGTAAGGCGGCGTGGCTTTGCTCTGCGCTTCAAGCCACGCAGGCACAGTCATCTCCGCAACGGTATTCATGAAAATCGGACCCAGATTGTGCATCTTTTCGAGAGCGGCTTTTGCTTTGACGATGTCTCCTGATGCCCAAAGGAACGAGCAGAAGAGCGCTTTTTCGGCGTTGGGCACCTTGCAAACCCCGACATCTAGGCTTAATGCATCGGGGATGCCTTCGTCGAGGAGGTCCTGGTAGCGTTGTAGGAAGTCTGCTAGCATGGACTCTTCGGGACCCATGTGGTAGATGAGCACGCTGGCGAAGACCTTTTGTTGTCTGCAGTTGGCTCATTGTCGACGACGCTGTAGGTTCATTTAAGACATACCTTTTTGAGTCGGTAGATCTTGATCTTCAAGCTCACTATAACGCCAAATGCACTGCCCGCACCTCTGATCCCATAGAGCAAGTCCTCATCCGCGTCGAGAACTCTGCCTTCGTGATCAACCATCCGTGCCCCAATCAACTGATCTACACCCAGACCAAAGACGCCTTCAAACGGCCCATATCCTCCATGCGTCGCCCACCCGACCCATCCGACGGTATTCGAAGCACCGAATGCTGTAGCATGTCCAGTCTTTGCGAACACACCCGCAAGATCCTCCGCTAAGACACCACCGCCAATGATGGCAGCATGTCCCTAATCAACGATTTCAACCTCTTTCATGTCTCTCATGTCGATGACCAAGGCTCCAGGTGGTCCAGAGCGGCCTTGAAAGTCATGGCCACCAGCACGGACGGCAATGGAGATGCCTGCTTCGTTGGAGTAAGCGACTAAAGAGCTCACTTGTTGCTCTGTCTGAGGTCGAACGATGGCTACCGGGCTGGAAGGGTTGCCCTTCAGTACAAGGCAGCTAGTTGGTCGAACCCCTCGTCGCTAGGTGTATACAGTGGGACATCTGGGTATTTTTGCTTTAAAGCTGCGACAGCGGGACGTCAGTTGCCATGTTAGCCATGATCGGCTATGTTGGTAATGTGCCAGCCGAAATGGGTTGAGGCTGGCCGAGGCTGACTCGGGTATGGCTGTGGTGGTGAATAGTGCCGGTTGAGCTCTTATACCATGACGATCAGCACGTCCATTGCCCGCATCTTATTTTTGTTCGCGCCCCTTCGATAGCAGAGCACCTTAACAATTTGGTCACGATGACGTTTCCGAAGGTACTGTGAGCTGGCGAAAACGAACATACTTGTCACAGGGCAAGGAACTGACACGGTCCTTTTTGGTCATTTGCCCATACCATAGCACTTTACTCCATACCATCACAATACTAGATCTTGTCCGCAACTGTGCTCGGCTAAGTAGCCACAAGGAAAGAAAAGTTATTTGTGTTTTCGTGAAACTCGCAAGTATACTTCCTTTTCGGACAACTTTGCCCGCCGCCCGACCTCGCTGGACGAACAAGTGAGCCAGCAACCTTTACCATCCCCTGTCAGCGACCTCAGGGATCCCCAAGTAGTTGGCCAGACCCCTTCTGTGATCGAAACATCCTGACTCCATGGAGACCGTACACCGCTCTTCTCCCCTCTACCACCCAAGCCTCCGAAGCGGAAACGAGAACCAGAACAGCAACTAGGCTCCGCCTCTTTCAAACGACCGCGCACGACTTGTCCCGGAAAATCTGTTCAGGACGTTGACTCTTTTGCTTGTTGAACGCCGTCACATTCATGGTCGCGAGGATACTTTAATGGAAGTGGCGAAATGGGTTATTTATTGGCGAGAAAGAAACCTGCCGCCTCACTTGGCCGAATGCGATCGGATAGCGAGTCTGGCGCACCCAGCTCAACCACATCGAGCGACCAAAAGGCCAGCGAGGAGAAAAGAACTACTTATAGGGACGCACGTTGTGAAGGTCTACTCACGGTAAAAGGCAGTTTCATGGATGCATCAGACATTAGTGTTGACCATAAAAGCAAGACCATAATTCAAGGGCTCCTGGAGAAAGCGCAGCCCTACCAAAGGGCTCGCTGTTTCGTGAGGACCTGTTCAACTCAACCTTCCGTAAGATAGGGGACAGAAATGAAACCCGGGTGATCCGACACATTTCTCACCTGATCGTGCCCTTGTGTGGTTGTAGCGGCGGAAGAGATTGATTAACTAACTAATCTAAGAGGGAAAGACTGGCCGCTATATGTAGTCACTCGTAACTGAGCGCAAGGAGGGGGAATACTAGGCTGGGCAAGTATCCCGACGCTAATATCACATCCTTCTCTACTTCCTTACGAGTATCTGTGAGTCACGTGTTCTTGTTGTTCTACTAAGCTATAGGGCTCGCAACGTATTATATCTTCCCTTCTTTCCTTCTATTTTATTTCTCTCTCTTTTATAATATATAAAAGATATATCGTCTTTCCTATTATATTGTATTTTAGGGAGCAATAGTTTATTAAGGTCGAGAATAGCTCGTAACGATAGCGACGACGCCGCGTAAGGTATAGAAACCCTTAGACCCTAGCTCTTTCGTAAGGTTTAGAAGTTCTTATTTTAACTCTTTTATAGTTTCCTTAATTTACGTTATTTATAACTAATAAATTTAATATATAATAATAACTTAAGTTATTATATATTCTTACGACTAAAAAAGAGTAGATATATCTTATAAAAGAGATAGGAATAAGTAGTAATCCCTTAAGTTAGCCTCTAATATCCCATTAATTAGTTAGATATTATAGATATCTCTATATCCCGTAGAGAGTATCCCTCCTAGCTCGATACGTATAGATTCGCGTAGATTCTACGGGGTTCGAACCCTATCGTCGTTAATCTTAGACCCTTTTTACGTATCTCTATAACTATACTAGTATAGTTTATTAATTAGACTCGCTAAATTCTAACTAATAATTAACTATTACGCTCGTCCTTTTATATTGCACTATAATTTTAAGAAGATATACTAATTTATAGTTATTATAGATCGTTTCGAGAGCTTTCGCTTCGAATCGATAAGATCCTTTCTTTAATCTTTAATTAATATTTTTATAGTAATCTACAATAATTCGTAATAGCTAGTAATAATATATAATATAATGTATCGACTAACTTTACTATTACCGCGATCTCGCGTCGCTTAGATTGGTTGATTACTAACTATCCTAATATATAACTCGTTGTATTTCGACGTACCCCCGACTAGATTTAGTCCGTAATTAATTGTAAGTAAACTCCTTTCCTTTAGTTCGAAACTATTTATTAACGCTTATAATAGACTATACTAATTATATTAAGGTATATTATATATAATCGGTCGGAACCGTTAACAATCTTAGTAAGTTTCCTCTTTATTCCTTACGTATCTATTAGTAACTAATAGTAATAGGCTATATCTAGTATAGAAATATATAAGGTCTCTTCTTCTCTTGCTATTCGGTCGCTAGTAAACTTAATGGTAGTAAGTACTTCGTATTCCTTTGTAACTATTTATAATCGTACGAAATAGCTTATATATATTATTACTAGGGTTAGCGTATAGTTAACTACTCTCTTAATTAAAGTAAGTACTATTCGTTCCGCTCCGTTATATATATTAACGTATTAAAATACTATAATACTACTAAGCTACGTAAACGTACTAAGTAAATTTCCGTTAGTTTTTATATTAATTCGTAACTAATAGTAATTATAGAAAAGAGCGTAAAGATAAGGGTAAAGATAAATCGTAAGTACTTATAATTCGTATAAAACCTTTCGTAACTAATCGCAATAGTACGTCGGCCGGCGTAATTAATGACCACTCCTTATCTATATTAGTAACGATCTAAAAAGGTTCGTAAGAGCCTATAATCGCACGTATTTATTTATTACCGTAGAGTAATCTCTTTCTTTTTTAGAAAGAGTGTATATCTATACGAAATACGGCGTAATAAATAGTAATAAAATAATTATATAAAATTTTTATTCGTAAGATATCGTAAGGTTCGGTAATAACTATAGTTTATACTTTTCTTACTCTCTATCCTTTAGCTTTTTCTTCGTAGATTAAGGTCGTAGTTTATAACGAGTTATATCTCGTTAGTATTAAGTAATATTTACTACTAATTCCTTTTATTATATTAGAATAGGCGTCGCTCTTTTAACGCCCTTTATATTATTAATTATAATAGTAGATTTTAGATCGAAAGAGTCCGTAACTAAAAGATTATAATAATTAGATTTAATATCCTCTACTAAGACCTTAGGAGGAGATTTAGATATTAGTTCTCTTCCTTCTAATATAGTCTTATTTTCTTAATCCTAATTAATTTTAATCGTATCTAACTATAAGGGCTAGAACTATAAGGTTAGAATCTTCTGTTTATCTTAGTTTTCCTCCTCTATTTAATCTAAACGTACTTCTAGACATTTACCTAGATTAAGAGAAATAGTGGCTAACTCGTTATAAGAAGAAGTATTATTTTACTTCTTTTTAAAGAGTTTAGCTACTTCTAGACTAGCAGTATCAATTTAAATAACTTATTTACGTAACCTTCCCTAGATTTTCGAAGAATTCTAGAGCGTTTCGATTTGATCCCCTTATAATCTAGCTAAAATAAATCTCTAGCTATTAATTAATGTCCTAAGTTTATTACCTTTTAAGTTAACTAGACAATAAGTTCCTAACGGTATAGTCTTTACTACTCGATACGGACCGAACTAACGTCCTTTAAACTTATTGCGTTCTTCGGCTTTAATTAAGATCCATTAATTAATAGGAAAAGAACTCTCTTTAACGAGTTCCTTTCGAACCTTACTAGCTATAATAGCGCGATCGATTAAGTGTCGATTCGCTTATATATAAGTATATTATAGTATCTTAATTCTTTATAAAGTTATCTCCTAATCTTTTAAGATATTTAATTATTAAGGATTATTATCGTTAATAAGAAGTCTTAGTTAATAGTTAAATAAAAGATAATATAAGGATTTTTTAGTTGTTACGTAGATTCTAATCTATATAGTAAATAAGGTTTAAGATAGATATTAATTCTATAGAATAGTAGATTAGTTCGTAAAGAGATATATTAATATTATCCCTAGGAATCCATTGAAGTTCTCGATCTTTTCGTTCGTTCGCGGATAGTATAGTATTATTACGCGATATCTTATCTTTAATAGCGAGATATAATAGATTATTACCTTTCTCATTAGATTTTATTCGTTATCTAAGAGAATCTCGCGTAGTACTTCGTAAATTATTATAATATAATTATAGAGGAATTTTACAATTATTTTAACTTTAGTATCGAGTATAGCGAAAGCTACTAGCTATCTAGTAAAATATTCGATCGCCGTAATAATCCAATAGTTACCTATAAGTATTTTTAGTAGGATATCGATTAAATTAATCGCCTATCTATCGAAGATTTATAATATTTCTTTATTAAGGGTTTATAATTATTCTCTCTTTTACTTTAGACAGCTATATTAAGAAACTTAATACTATAGGTAACTACATATAAAGATATATATATCTTCTT